TCGATTTCCGGTTTTGTTTTGTAGAAAACATAACACCAAAGACGCTTTAATATGTTATGCATTTTATTAGACCGGTGACGACCGCACAGAGTAGCATTATAACAGAACTTTCAGATGTATCTAGTATGATAAAACAGCGCTGCTTTACCCCACATACACACGACCGGAAGGAGCGGAAGCGGTCGACTGTGGCATAATAAAAGCTCCGCTGCTTTCGAGCCGTGTGTCGCGCTTGTTCAGTGGCCTCGTTTCGCTTCGACGGCTTTCAGTCTCACCCTGCTTCATACTACTACGTTAATAAATCATTAGCTCATCCATGAACATGATTTCTGCCCGAGTCCCGTCGGATTGCGTCGGCTGTGGGGATGAAGACCACAACTCCCATGATTCCACACTCAGTCACGCCGTCAGCAAACTATGCCTTTGCCTCTTTGTTTATTTTGAATACGCGCCCTCTAGTGGCGAAAAATTACATATTGTGCCTTTAAGTCCTGCTTATAAGAGGGCCAAATAATCACTTTAAATTTCAGCTAAAATATCAAATTAAACAATAAAACATTTTCATTTAATTGCAGTTAACGTCAATTAAGTGTCCAAAAACATTAGTTCAGTTGCACTTAAGTATATTATTTCTATTATTTCAAGTATGCTAAAGTGTACTTCTTTCTTCATCAGATTGCACATTATCAGATTGTTAATGTTTGCTAAATTAGTTGTATTAAAATGTAAAATGTAATTCTTCCTTCAGGTACATTCTCTCTCTGGGTGCCAGTGTGGAAGCAGAGAATGAAAACGGAGAGAAACCAGCAGACCTCATCGACCCAGACTGCAAAGAACTGCTCAAGCTCTTCGAGACAGGCTGTGTCTAAGTACTGACCCGCAGAAGAACTTGCTAGTTAAAGCTAGTTTTCAAAAAACATCACTCTCCTGAGCTTCGTATTTTGTGTGGTTCTCCTGAATATTCTGAATATTTTGTTTGTTTTTTTGGCTTTTAGCTAGACACAACATTATTATACAGTACAGAGGAACACCAAACCCCGCATATCTGTTTGCTTTTAAAGTCAACGTGAAGTGGCTTAACCTTAAGTATTTCTGAGTGAAACATGATATTGAATGAGAAGAAATGAAGAGTGGGACTTTTATCCATTGGGAAAAGAGTGGATTAGGAAAAGTGGGTGTATAAAGCGCAATGCAGTCCGATTTTTGAAGGTTTTCTAATGTCAGACGAGGTGGAGCAAGTTATTAAACTTTGATTAAAAAAAAAGAAGACAAATGGAATAACATACACAGTACGACCAGGAATGTTTATGTAAAACATGCATGTGTCAGAACATGCGTCTTGCTAACCGTTGCTTTCTTTATCACGGTAGCACCATATGTTCGCACAAACCGGCATCTCTCAATGTTTACAGACAGATCTTCTCTGCATGCCATCTGCAATTGTTCTTTTTCACTGCTGTGTTAAACATACTTTGGACCAGGGGTCTCTTTGACATGCTCTTGATTTTTTTATGTGACAAGGGATACAAACCTGTTGATGCAAAGAGATGTTTGCTGAGAACTGCACACACCAGAATGAAGCATGGTGCCGTCTGTCTGCTGGGCAGCAGGAGAGCACAGAACCAGAACCTGCTGTCAGACTCGCATATGAAGAAATACTGAGGCTTTGTGCATTTCTGTTAAAAGTGAGGGCACTACTGACATTTTGAATGTCTCTTGTCAAAGTCTTACCTTTTTTCTTTTTACAAGGTTTTCATAAATAAAGCTGCTTTTATATAAACATTGAGTTGTGATTTGCATCAAACCTTTTGAACATTATAAAAAAGTTCCTAATACTGCATAACATATGAAAGGATGACTTAATTTATTGTTTTATTTTGACCTTAAAAGGTTATGATTTTAAGCCAGAGCCATCATTTCAGCAACATTCACTGTTGCCAAGTAGAATTCAGAAATCAAACCAGTGAAAATCTGTATTAAAGTTTAAAGAAAAAAAAAACGTTGTTTTTCACTAGCTAAACACGATCGAGGAGGAACGATATTTAATAATTTGCGTTATGCACCCATAAAATAAGACACAGTAATAAACGTCAGTATTTATCAACGTTTATTTACTAAAACATCCTGATAATATGTCACAAAAATATTTTTACTAGGAATATTTTTCCTTACGTAAATCACACGTGACAGTCCGAGGGGGAGTGGCCTGCGTTTTTACAGCCAATCAGAAACATTCTCTGTCAATTGTTTTGCATAATAGTGCATCATCAGGGGCACATTCAAGCTGCAACGTTTTGCTACGGTTGAACGACATGTTTCCTAGAAACGGTGTGCAACGGGGTTTGAGATACGTTTTCTCTTGTTTGGTGGGTGTGTCAAAAATGTCAGCCCAATCAGCAGCAACATGTATATAAACCACACGGTATTAAAGAGACAACTCGCACAATGGGTCCAAGTAAAGTCGTTTACAAATGTGTCCGCTGCAGCTCGGTATACGCAACAATTGAAGATATTAGAAGAAATGTTTTGTCTTTTCATCCTGAAATGCGAGGCAAATGTTGGATCACAATAATTAGGAACCACAGTTTCCACAAATCCCTTCATTTGATTGGGATGTTCTTTTATTCTGGAGGGCAAGGGCAGTGACTGTAACATTGTGTAGTTAATGCTGCTCAATGTGAAAGCCCGCAGGTGATGGAGATTTACCGCTGATTACAGAACCGGCTTTCTGACAAGATGCGCATTAAATATCGCATGCGATTTATCGTGCAGCCCTAATTTATACCGATTTCATCAGGCTCCGAAAATTCTTCAAAAAGAACACAAAGAATGGCCTTCTCAGCTGCCATAGTTGCAACTCTTGCGTCAATAGAACAGGGTGTTCAACGCACCACCGTTTCAGTTTAAAAAAAAAAAACGTTTTGCAACGTTTTGTCGGGGTTGAACGCAGCCCAGGCTGGCTGGTTGAAGTGAGCAAAACCCCTAGCACTTTTAGTGGTAAGATTTATCATGACTGACTAGATATAACAAGTTTTCTTCCTCAACAAACAGGAGACTAAATTCATATTGAAGTTCAAGTTGATACTTCAAAAATGAAAAATCATTCGCAATTCGTTTATGAAAACAAATTGAGCCACACTCGGCTAAATACGCATGACCCCAGTTCGTTTTATACAAACAAATCTAAGTACTTGAAGGCGAAACCAACGTTTTGTGCATTTCATAATGAATTTATTTCTTATACAAAATCCCTCAAGGTGATAAAAAAGAAAAATGCGACAAATCGTTTTAATCTAAAAGAATATGGTTTTCTAATCATGCAAAGATGTACCGATTATTGCCATGATGTTTGTACATGACTGTATTATAATAATAATAATAATAATAACTCTGTTTGCGCATGCGCTTTTCTCTCAGCTTGTTCGGCTGAACCGGAAAAAATTCGTTGGCATTAGCAACGTTTCGGCCGAGTCAGGCCTGAATACAGAGACAGCTGAGGAAAGAGAAACAAACAGACAGGTTTGAAACGGTTCATTTACGTGTTTCCCATCACGTGAGCGTTAGTCTGAATGTTTCGGGATGTGTTCGCTGTGTTTATGCTCAGATTGCAGGAGAAGTCCGCATCAGTTTCCAACTATGAACACAATGCTAACAGACTAGCTGCTAGCAACTCATAAACAATAACAAACGCCGAGTTGCTGAATTACCATCCTTAAAACAAATCCTGTCCTCTCGCTTGTGACAGAAATATAGTAGCTTGTGTCTGTGTAGCGCGTCTAATGTCTCTAATGGCCAGCCTTATGCACTGATAAATACAATACATATATGTTTAAATCATTGATGGTCTTGCTGCACTGATCTCAGATTGATTCGGACATGTCGCCTAATAAACTGTGTACCGTTGATTTAGTCTCCAGTTTTGCTGTGTCTGTCTTTTGTTCCAATGCAATTGTATAGCAATTGGTGCCTTTTGTCTGAATTCCTTAAATCTTCTCCCCCCAGAAAACACTGAAGAACAGGCAAACATTCCTGTTGAGCCTCATACTGAGATTGTGAGGCAAGAGACTATAACAGGATGACAAGGTAAAGTCATGTGTGTTGTAGTTATTGATGAGATGACACTTCACAAACAGAGACTTAAACAGTGAATGCATTATAAGATAGAACCACTGTTAAAGGGGTCATTTGATGCTATTTTAAAGATCATTATTTTGTGTATTTGGTGTAACAGAATATGTTGACATGCTTTAATGTTCACTTTACGGATCTTCTTTATGCACCAAGAGCTTGTAACACTCCAAAGACTTGAGTGATAAACAATGGATCCTCCTCACAGATTGTGATGGTGCGTGTTTTTACAGTAATTAAAATAGTAAAATTAGCAGAGTTTTTTATATTTTATTTACTTAATTTTACAAGACCGTTTTTCTATTACCTTGGCATTACACTATTGTTCAAAAGTTTGGACTCATTAAATTGCTTTAATGTTTTCTAAAGAAGTCTCTCCTGCTCACCAAGGCTGCATTTATTTGATCAAAAATACAGAAAAAAAGACCGTAATATTGTGGAATATTATTACAATTTCAAATCACTGTTTTCTAATTTAATATATTTTAAAATGCAGTTTATTCCACATTTTCAGCATCATTCCTCCAGTCTTCAGTGTCACATGATCTTCAGAAATCATGCTAATATACTGATTTGCTGCTTAAGAAACATGTATTATTATCAATGTTGAAAACAGTTGTGCTGCTTCATATTTCTGTGGAAACCGAGATTCCTTTTTTTTATTTCAAGGATTTTTTTGTTGAATTGAAAATTCAAAAGAACTGAATTATCTGACATAGAAATCTTTTGTAACATTATAAATGTTGTTGTTGTTACTTTTGATCAATTTCATACAGTCTTGCTGAATAAAAGTATTAAAAATCTTACCTCAAAAAAACGCTATAGCATAGTTAAACTCACCTAACTGGCCTTGTTGTTCTTGTTTTTTTTTCCTTCTCTTTTGTTTTTTCTCTTCTCTTTAACTGGGGGGATGGTACATATGTATGTGGATGTATGTACAAATATATGTGTGTATATATGCATATACAAGTGTATTTATTTATATTTGTGTATATGTGTTAATATGGATGTGTAATTGTTTGATATGTATATGTTAATATATATGATTTCTTTTATCCTTTTCTGTTAAAATTGTTCTATATTTATTGTGAATCTTGTAAATTAAACTAATTCAAAATAAAAGTAAAAAAAAAATAAAAAATCTTACCTCAAACTTTTGAGTGGTCATGGTTTCCACAAAAATATGAAGCAGCGCCACTGTTCGCACAACAATGATAATAATCAGAAATGTTTCTTGATCATCACATCAGCATATTAGAATGATTTCTGAAGGATCACGTGACACTAAAGACTGGCGTAATGATGCTGGAAATTCAGCTTTGCATCACAGAAATAAATTCATTTCGAAATATATTACAATATAAATCAGTTCTTTTGAATGGAAATAATATTTCACAATATTGCTGATTTTACTGTATTTTTGATCAAATAAATGCAGCCTTGGTGAGCAGAAGAGATTTTTTTCCAAAAACATTAAAATATAATCTTACTGACCCATACTTTTGAACGACAGTGAATAGTTTCATCGGTCTTTATTATATACTACCTGACATCTTCTCCATCCTCCAGCATGGAGAGGCAAATGGTGCATTTCTCATCCATATCCGACTCTTCCTCACATAACTTCAGATCCAGCAGCTTCCGCTACACACACACACACACACACACACACACACACACACACACACACACACAAGCGCACACACGAG